AGAGAGAGAGACAGAGAGAGAGAGAGAGAGAGAGAGACAGAGAGAGAGAGAGAGAGAGAGAGAGAAAGAGAGAGAGAGAGAGAGATAGAGAGAGAGCGAGAAAGAGACAGAGAGAGAGAGAGAGAGAGAGAGAGAAGAAGGAAGGGAGGGTGCACCAGATCCCTCATCCACCCCCACAACACAACCCCCCCGCAGCACCCTCCTCCTGCATCAGGGAGGAGGAGGGCTATCCCGGCCTCCCATCCTCCTCCTCCATAGCATCGTGATCTCCTCTCTGCAGTATCTACTTCTCCTGCTGCCAGTTTACTGTAGGCTTGGCCATGACATACGACACTTACACTGCAAGTCACTTCTCTCTCTCTCTGCTCACAATCCCCCCTCGCACATCCATTTTCTTCACTTTTTTTTCTGTACATTGAAACAGCCCAAGTGAAGCAGCGCTTACAAGAAATTATCAGAAAGAGGCTGTCCACAGATACCAAGATGTAAACTACTTTATTGGCTTTAAGAATAAATGTGGTGGTTGCTATGCCTTCACTGGAGTCATGTAGAAAAGTAATGCATTGATTTTCTTGTGTTTTTATGCAAAAATAATGCCACAAAGGCACACGCTATCGTGAGGGGGTTTTTCATCTTTTTTGAAGAGCCCAGGATGGAGATTTAGATCAGGTCTCCAGTGAAGATCAAGTCGAGAAGAAAGAGGAATAATTCAGCATTAACTCGGACTATATATACGTTTAAGAGTGAATGTGTAAGGATCAAATCTGCTATTAAATCAGCCACTGGTGGTCATTTCTATTGATTTTAGACACCGTAGAAAAACCCCCCTAATAGACCCCACCAGGGAGTCTCAAGACCCCCACTTTTTCCGAACATTAAGCCTGGCATGAAGCCTAAACTGGAGCGTGCACACATGGGGGGGGGGGGGGGGGCATAAGACTATTAATGTGCATTCATTCCCCTCTCTTGGCGCTCTGCAGAACAACACATTCCTGCAAATTATTAATTCATCGCTCTTGATGCGGAGGAAAACAGGCTCCAACAGCGGCAACAAAACATGACTGGAGAAACACACTAACTAAGTCCCTGATGACAACAACAAAACTATACCAGCCCCTTTAAACAGTGTGAGCCCCTGTGTGTGCATGATGTTGTTATTCAGTGAGAGCTGTGTGTTGTTGTTTTTTAAAGGTGTTTTTTTAAAGCATGTGCCTGCAGACATCACTGCTCTTGAATGCTCCACTGACGTTGTTATTCTCAGATGTGGCTTCCATATAGGACTAAAAGGCAACTGTTGCCTGATGTGCATTCAAATAATTTGAATAAATCAGATGTGATGAAGACCTTTTTACCTCAGCCAGCTAAAAGCATGCTTCATGATAAATATGTAAACAAGTCCAGCTGACTATAAATAGGAGCAAAGGCAGGAACAATGGCTGTGATATCCGATATATAGTCCATTTTACATCAGTAGGCTACAACACGGTGGTTTGAAATATCCCCCCCCCCCCCCCTCACCTCACGCTATCAGCTCAGCCACCCCGCACACACACAGGCCGTATAAATCAGTAAGTAATAGGATCTCGGATCTCCTGAGATTTAACAGCCGACCGCCGCCTCTCCATCTCCAGCAAGCCCCGTTTCACCTGCCCGCCCGGGAAGCAGTCTGATCCGGTTTGCCTGTTTAACGCGGGTTACCTGATCTGAGGCCTCTCTCCCGTGGCAACGTGGTTCTCTCTCGGGTCCTCCTCCGGGGTGGGGGGGGGTTGGGGGGGGGGTCCAGCCGGCCCGGCTCGCTCTCTCCTGGGGGCTGCTGGGAATCCTCACCACCGCTCTTCCCCTGCCTGGTCCGCTGACGGAGCTCTCCTCTCTCCTCTCTCCTCTCTCCTCTCCTCACCCGAGCGAGCCGCGTCAAGCTGGCCGGAGGAGACGAGGGGAAGACCGGAAGCTGTGTGTTTCCAGTTAACAAAATAAAAGAGCACTTGTCTAGAAAACAAAACAAAAATTTAGCAGATTTATGAGGCAGTTTTCTAATGATGAGGATTTGGAATAAATGTCTACGGTGACTGGGAAGTGCAAAGCAAGATTACAAAGTGTGAATCACTTTTACAAAATTTGAGACAAATTTACATTTAAAAAAAAAAAAAAATTATTAAACAAAATTACAAAACTATGACGGAGGATTATGGCCATGTTAACTTTTTATTATTTTTATTTCGAGATTAAAGTTCTAAATTTACGAGATTAAACTCGTGAATGTATGAGAATAAAGTCGTAAATTTACGAGTTTAATCTCGAAATGTATTTATTTATTTATTTTTTAACGTGGCCCTAATCCTCCGTCGTACAAAACCAAAACATTTTTACCAAGGAAAAAACTTATTTACAAGATGTGAAACATTTTTACACTCGCTTAGACTAATTTTCAAGCGGCAGAACCATAGACTGTAAATAGGGCAAAACACATTTTGCTTTGCACTTCCCAGCCACCGTAGATGTCTCTGCTCTTAAATTCACACTCAATTACAATTTAGATACATATTTGTAAAACAGGCTATCTAGTAAAATAGAGGTATAAATAATAATTAGAAATGAAACCAATTACATACAAGTAGTCGTCTAGGCTTTATCGTGTCTTAACTAAAGGATAATGATATTTATGTTTAAAAACATAAATATTATCGAACTCGGTCTGATGTAATGTGAACTGACATTATTCAGAATAGGAGTACACTGTGAAAAGTCCCAGTCATGTTGTGCTGTATAGCAGCAGTCATAGAAAGCCTCTTCAATCAGAAAAAGTTGGGTCATAACAAACTGTTGAATAATGTATCTTATTATATCACTTCAATCAACACAAAGTGGCCGAAAAATCTGTTTGTGATATATCAAGTGATTACAAATTACATTAAATTGAATGGGAAAGGTGACATTTTTCATGTTTTAAGCATTAATAAGGGGTTATGAAGTGGTGTGATGATGATCGGTTTTTACGTTTTATTTTGAAGGTATGAACAGGAAGTCAGTCACATGCTCAGTAAATGACACCGGTCCTCAGCTCAGCCGCGAGAGGAGGCTGCGCGCGGATTCGGGGTGGGTGGGGTGGAGGAGGTGGAGGTTGAAGGCAAGGGGATTGCTGCAGACTGCGCATGCGCACAGTTAAGAGGCCTGCTGTAATCCCCTTTGTCACAAATAACAAGAGGATGCAATATGCTGCAATTAAGGCAAAACTATCCACCTAATTACAGCCTCTCTGTTTCCACGCTGCCTCTGCGTAACTCCTGAGAAGATCCTAACTGAAAAATAACATTTATTTATTTTTTATTTCTGCTTGAAAAATAAATTAAATAAATAAATAAATGTGCAAGCTCTTTTTTATTTTTAAATGAACCCGAAACACTGTCTGATCAACGTTACATAAAGACTATGGAAGTCACAAGTTAAACTTTGATACTAGAAAATAAATCGATATGTGTTTCGTTACCATGGCAACTTTAGTAATTTCTTGTTTTTAGACTAACAAAAATGTAAATTACAGAAAAACATTGAAAACATTTTTTGGTACATAAACGTATTTACCGTTTTCAAACACGTCACATGGTATCAAAAAATTATAAACGTTTCTAAAATGTTGACAATGTTGATCAAGATTTGCTCTGAACTAAGTCCATCAAGCTTTAACATTAAGGTAGCTGTTTAACATTTTTTATGGAGCAAAAATAAACTGCTTCACTTCAAATAATTCAAGATTTTGTCAAGATAATGTCCTGCATAATTTAGCAGTACATGTGTGTTTTTTTTCACACGACCCTATAGTTGTGAGAATTAAACTGTGGAAATGTGCGGGAAGAAAAATCAGTACAAAAGAACTCCTTATTAAAAACTAAGAAGAGCAGGGGGAAAGGTTTGTTTTTTTACCCTTACCACAATCGTCCCAAACATGAGCCTCTTTGATTTATTTTTTGTGTGCAATAAATATCTGTGTATAAAAAGGTACACACTAATTATACTAATGTTTTTAAAAGATAATGTTGGGCCTTTTTGCCTTTATTAGAGAGGACAGCTGAAGAGAATCAGGAAATGTAGGGAGGAGAGAGTGGGGGGGAGCAGAGGAGCCGTGGTCGGCATCGAACACACGGCTGCCATGTTGATAACCGCTAGGCCACCTGCACTCCTATTTCTACTAATTTGCAAAAAAAAAACGAAAAGTCTACCATCCTTTCTCTGCTGCCACTTGTTGCTTTTACATTTTTAATCAGAGAGCATTGCACTTATATTCAGTTTTATCATCATCAAAGAAATCCAACATAAATGTGATAAATATGTCTGCACGATATAATATCATACAAGAGCTAGAAACACTGAATGGTGTGTCACTGAACTTGAATAAGAATCTGTGACACAGTATTTTCTGACTGTGAGTGAATCCTCAAAACAAACAAACCTGGCAGAAAATCCACGTCCCTTCATTTCTTCTGTCCTCCGCTCTGACCCGTCCACCTTCAGTCAACGCTCATATCCCAAAGGTTAAGAGCATGCAAGACACATTTCTTCAGTGTGAAACAGGTAGATGCAGCAGCTTCGAGATAAATCACTATGCACACTCACAGTAGCATCCATGACTTATTCAAAGCCAGATTTGATGACTGGCGCCATCTACTGGTCAGCTACCATTAAATCCTCTTCCTGTCTCCCATGATTGGGAGTGATAAGATAATATGGTACATGTCAATGAAGCTTTTATGCTACTTCATTGTTCCTTTAAAGGCAGATGAGCTGTAGGATAATAGTTCAGGTTATTTTTTAGCCACCTTAGCTGCATGATTATTGTTAAGAAATAACATAGGCAGGTCCGGCTATTGGATTGTTTGTTATTAAATGATGCACTGACTCATGATCTCCTGAGGATTTTGCAAAGTTAAAAAATTCCTTTAATTATGAAGATGGATCAGGTCCCCAGGCAGGTTCCTTGAGCGAGAGATGAATGACAAGCCCGTGTATCGTTTTTTATAATAAGGTGCGGTTTATTTAATCATTTCATTATTCACATCTCATGGTACACTCTCCTATAGCTTTGAATTGTAGCATTAACCATGTGTAATACTGACCTCAGCCTCTTCCTTCAGGCGTCCAGCTGACACAAACACGAGCTGAGCTCCTTGGTGTGACTCCCACACCACCCGCTCTGCGCTGCTGCTGCTGCATGGTTCAGTCCTGCAAACTGTGAAGTGCTTTTCTGGCTCTTTATACACACTGAATGTCCAGATTTGAGTGTTTGATCGCTTTATCTACGACTGCAGAGAGAGAGTCACCACAGCATCGGGCCTCCCCAACCAGCCGGGTTAAAGCAGCGTCACCTTTTGACTGAAGAGGTTTTTCGTCAAGGTTCAGATGGTCTGGGGTTTTTGTCGTGGGTTTAAACTTGGCTGCAGATATTTTGAGATCCGAGGTTCCTCAGCGCTTCCTTTTAAAACTCGCACGAGCGTTGAGCAGGAAGGAGTGTTGTAGTGGTTGCAGATTACATCAAAAAATGACCGATGACGGCCTCACCTGGACAGCAAGAAACTCCCTCTGACTAAAAAACATTTAGAACCACTTGGTGCAGACTCCCATTTTCATTTTCTTTGTACAACTTTAAGGCAGGAAGTTCCACTTTGTTTTTTTGTTTTTTTTAAATAGGTAGGTCTCTGTCTTTAACTCATGCCTCCCTGCTCAACTTCTTTTTTTTCTTTTTTTTTTTAAATAGAGGACGGGGGGAGCCTGGAAGTATCCTAGTGTTCATCAGGCCTGATCCACTGAAAGTCAACAACAGCGAGTGTTTTTTTTTTTGATGTGCTGTTGCTATGCCATGTAGATGAAGGTGTTTATGTCGGTCTCGTCTCGCTTTATGTACTTGTGATCTATCAGCCACTCGATCTGCTCCTTTATCATCTTCTTCTGTGGTAAAAACATGTTCTTTAGGATCTCCACCAGCTCCGTCTGCAGCTGGGCGTTGTTGATGCGCTTCCTCATCTTCATGATCTGGATGATGGCCTCCTGGGAGAGGGAAAAAAAAAAAAACAGACACAGGAGACGGACGGGTTTTTAATCGGAGCCTGGGAAGTTTATGCAAACATAACCACAGGAAATGGAAGGTGAAACTATTTCCTCACAGCAGGTTGTGTTACATAACGAGGGTATCTTTCACCCCCACGCTGTGAGAACATCTACTCACCTGCGTTCTTAGTATCCGGAGCTGGACGATGCCCTCGTTCTCCTCCTCTCTCATTCGCTCCGTGGTGAGTTGCAGCCGACCAATCAGGTTGATCTTCCCCCTTTTCTGAACCTTGGAGTTTTTTCTGAGAGTTTGATTCAAAAGAGTCGAGATTACTGAGTATCAGGGACTTCAGTATTCATGGTAAAATGTTCAGTGAACCTGACAGAAGTCTCAACAATAATTAGACGGATATCTAATCTGTAAAAAAAAAACAACGCTCAAATTTGAGTTGAGAATTTGGTGAGTTTTTCCAACCATGAAATACAGATTTTGAAAAAATGAAGGCAAGAGTATTATCAAAAATAGGAATGAATAAATGGTATCACCTTTGGGATGAAAAACAAAACAAAGTCTATGGATTTGAGATTCAAATTGCATCAGACAGAGTGAGTAAGAAGAGAGAGGCAGATGTTTTCCTTACATGATGGAGAACTCCTGGTTGACGTAGAATAGTGTTCCTTCTGCAAAGTCTTTGGGCGAAGACACCACAGGGTCGTACGACAACACCTGCCGCTTCAGTTTAGGAAACGCCACCAGAGACTTGGAGAGAAATGAACGCATAATGTTTGAGATAGTGGAAAAACTACTTGAACTGTAATCTAAAGGTCACATATTCTGCAAAATACTCTTCACCATGTTTCTCTAACACTAACATGTGTCTCTAGTCCGTCTACAAACCCCCCAATGATGAGAAAAGTCCATCCTCTGCGTCTTTAGCCTGCTCCACTTTTCAGAAAATGTGTGCTCAAACAGGTCGTTTGGAGATTTTCCCTTCATGACATCACAAAGGGCAGTAGCCCCTCCCCCAGGTGGGTGACACTCCCACAGCTAGGTGTTTGTTCTGCCCTCTGAGTCTGCCTTCTCACCGTAAACAATAGGACATGGAGCGAGAAAGCACCGAGTACACCCAAGCCCTTCCAGAGAGGGGGCGTGGTCAGACACAGCTCATTTACATATTTAAAGGTACAGACACAGAAACAGCCTGTTCTGAGCAGGGCTGAAATAGAGGGGTTTATAGACATGATCAAATACAGGATCAGAGTGGATTTAGAACAAGAAACTTCACAAACATGTTTTAGGGAGCTCTGAGAATTATTTAAACCGGTTGAAGAAGAGAATATTTCACCTTTAACTTGATACCACTACAGTGTGCTTAGTCCGTCTTTGAGAAATGCAAACCTGCTGATAAATCTCTTTCACAATTTTTTTTTTTTTTTTTTTTTTTTTTATCTCTTTACCCAGAGAGTGCGTCTCAGCTCAGCGTCAGGAAGCTCAGTTGCTAGCTTAAGGTTTTCAAAGCTGATCCTCTCCCTCGGCCTCTGGTTCCAGGCGAACAGAACAGCCAGCTGGAAGGTGGTCACCTCCAGGTCGTACTGGCCCACCTCGTTCTTAAAGGTTATCTGTAGAAAAGACATTTAATAAAGCTTCTTTCCCGGTCAAAGAGAGAGCGTTGATGTAGTTTGTAGACTTAATCACATGTTTCCACGTTGTGTGTGTTTCTCCGGGTGTCACTTACGATGCCATTAGACATGAGGTGATGCCAGTGGAGCTTCCTGCCACTGTGGTTCTTCTTATAGAAATCTTCTACCTCTGGTATTAAATCTTCCAGCTCTGTGGGGAGAGAGACGAAAACCTTCTCGCTGCTCCTCGACCACGCTCCGGCATTCAGGATCTTTATATTGACCGAGTCGGCTGCAGGAGAGAAACACAGAGACATCTTGATGAGTGAGCGACAAACTCTTTCGAGTTAGCACAGCAGGAAGCAAAGCTTAAGTTTTGTTGTTACTCTGCCTGTATGAAACTGTAGAGAACAGCCTTACTACTCTCATCTATGAAGTCAATTTGAAACGATGGTCGGCTTAGCTTTGTGTTGAAACAGGAGGTCAAAGACTCACTGATTTAATCATTATTAACTAAAGTGTGTAAGGCCCCGTGAACACCTAGCGTTTTTTCAGAGCAGAAAAGCGCTGGCTGTACGCTCGGGAATGTAAAAAAAGGATTTATTTTACATTTAAAATCATGGTTGTTAGACTACCAGTTCAACGCTGCTCGCTGCCTTCAATGCGACATATTGCACAGCCTGACTTCATATTTCCTCTCGTCTTAAATAGTGCAAAAGGGAGTTTTTTCTTTGTTCTAAAAAATTAACTTTGTACAGTGAATGTATGAAGCATTTTTTGCACTGAGAAGAAAAAGCGCTGGATGTCTGTCCTGTCTCCATGACAACAGTCTGTTGACAACGGCCGCTGTACGACCGAAACTGCTCTGTACTTTTTACTGCATGTTTTATATTTGAGATTGTTTATTTCCCGATCAGACACGGAGGATGAGGGTACAACACACGATCTGTAGGCGGCAAAACTACATTGTCAGGAATATCATACATTTGGAAAAGAGCGCCGGTGATGTCAACAACACCTTTCTGAAAAGTTGAAAGATATTCAACTTGCTCGCTTGGAGCGCTCTGAAAAAAAAAGACGCAGGATGCTGAGAACACTCTCTCCTCATTGACAACAACTGAAAAAAGACGCTCGGTGGACACGGCGCCTAAGAATGTTACACTTTGGTGGCGGAAACGCAGCTTCTCCTACGTCCTCCTGTTAGCTGTAGCATTAGCTGCATGTAACGCTCGGTTCTAGCCCCCCTCGATAAAAATGTGTCAGTGTCGCGTCATTGTCAGTGTGAGATCACTGATCTAAGCCCATTGGCTCGTTGTGGCAAACCCTGCAGCTCATCTTGAAATTTCCGAGAAGCGTGTTGAGCAACTGACCAATAACGACAGAGCGGATCGGCAGACCAATCAGAGCAGACTTGGCCCACGTGGGGTCTAACAGTGTGGGCTCAACAGAGTGTAGCTGACGGACTCAGAGTGGAGAGGGAGCAAGGAGGAGCAGTACATGAAAACAGACACTTTTTTCAGACTTTATCTATTGTGAACGTACAAAAGTAGGAACATAGATTAAATATACGAACCCCAAAAAGAGCAGAATATGGACTCTTTAAAGGACTAAAAGAAAGAGGTAAACTATAAAAAACTAAGGACATTTTTAGTTCTTTCTCCTACTGTCAGTTTTTATGATTATGACTCATTGCGTTGCCCCTCTAGAGTAGAAGAGATCTTCTTATCAAGAAGCAACAGAGCATCATGTTAAACTATTCATTTAAAGAAAAACAGGAGCTCTGTGTGTGTGAGTGTCAGGCGCCTCGACCTCTTACCTGGTAGAGCCAGCTTGTTATGTTTATGCATCTCTTTGAAAGACTGATTGAGGTCCTCTGACACCTTGATGTCTTGAAACATCCGCGCCAGCTTGTTGACATAGTCCGCTGGCATTCCTACTTCCTGTTAGGACACATGACATCACAGGTCACTTAATGTATTTTTTTTTTTTTGTGTGGGGAGGGGGGGGTAGTGTTTGTGATGCAGAATAAAAAAACAGTGAACGGTAAATCCAGCCAGCTCTCACCCTGAGCCACTCCACCATGTTCTCCTCGATCTCGCTGTCCGCCGAGATGTCCAGGATGAGTCGACGCGTCAGGTGAGCTTTGTGGTAGCGCATGAACACGTCTTTGTTCTGGACGTACTTCAGCACTAACAGCTGCACACAAAGCACACACACAGATTATGGCTGCAGCCCACATGAAAAAGTAAAGTTAGCTGCTGCGCCTACGTCAACAAAAAATAGCAGCTGGTGGTGGAGACTCCCACACGGTCTGTGTGCATAAGAGCCAGAGTTAATGGAGCTTCTTCTGTGGTCAGGCCTCGTTTTCTTTTTCAAAAAACAACGTTGAACGAGCAGTGGATTTAAGCCCAAAACAAACGAGGATCCCCAGCGATTAAAAACTCATTTTTGTTAATCCTGAAATAATGAAAAACTTTAGACTTTGAGGAGAGATACATTATGAAACCGACTCTCGTTCCACTGCGGTTCTACTTCAGTCAACGACGTCTTTAATGATTCATCACAGGTTTGTATTTACTGACCAACATTTGAAGAAAGCTTCATGAGCAAAATGTGTTTGGAACAATATCCCAGCCAACATGTCAGCTCATGTTATTATAATAATATAATAATAATAAAGTTTATTTATAAAGCACTCATCAAAACTAAAGTCACAAAGTGCTTTACAGGAAAAATAAAAAATCCCAACAGTCAAATACACAACAATAAAATCAATAATAAAACAACAGTGCAGCAATCATCCAATGAACAGAGAAACAACCGAGACAAAGATTGACTAAAGTTAACAGTAAAACAAATAAAACATCATGGATGAAACGAGGATTAGAAGAAGGCCTTACGATAAAAACGTGCTTTTAAAAGTGATTTAAAAGACGATACCTGTTTCAATGCTAATCACAGGTCTATTAAAAAACATGTAGATTCCCTGAGACGTACCACTTCCTTGAGCTTGGCCTCGATCTCCTCGGACGTGAGCTTCTTGCTCAGTGGCGTCTTCCTTAACAACATGTCGCAGTAGTTGGCCAGCAGCTCCGGACACTTTGACTCTGGTTGAGTTTTCAGACCGACCCTGTAAACACACGAGAGAGCAAGGAGACCAATCAGATGTAATCATGTTCATCATTCAAACGACATGCTGAACTCAGAGCAGAGCGTCTCTTACCCTTTCTGTTTCAGAGGAAGTTCTAATTTAAATATAGTGGCATCATTCACAACAGCTTTATAAGCCTGAAGGAAAGTAAAACAGAAGAGTGATCAGTTAAGGAAGTTTCATTCTTTATATAATAATTGTGTAGTGGGGTGAAAAGGGGGAGCTCACTTTGTCTCTGGCTGTCAGGAAGCGAGGGTCGTCCTGGAACGCCTCTTTCACGAGTCGACTGAAGCGGTTAAACAAGGTGAGCAGCTGCTCTACGTATTTCTCAGAGTCCTGCAACGACAACAACAACAAACAAAAAGATGAAAAGCGACCAATGACAACAAGGTAACTTCTTCACATGGGAGAAGAGTCGTCTGCAGCTGAAGATCTACTTACTAACTTACTAAGACGACAGATACATCCCAAAAGTCTGGATTTATTGCAACAAATAAGAAAATATTTCATGTCAATGAGCAAGGCTTTCCCTCCACATTTAAAATTTTGTAATTTTAATTATAAGAAGCGTCTTATTCAGGCAAAACAACAAACGTTAGATGATCAGACAGCTTGTAAATTAACTGCTCATCCTTCTTGCCCTGGTGAACGTTATTGTAGAGATGAAATCGTATTTCCAGGTCCCAATAACCCAATAAACTGGTTTCATCCTTTAACACACTTAGGCCCTGTGTCCACCTAGCGTCTTTAAATTGTTTTCAATGGGTAGAGCATGTTCGCAGCAGAAAGCAGCCGTCTAGATGAAAAGCGCAGCGCCCAGCCCTTTTTACAAGCACTCTGCCGCTGTTGACATCACCGGCGCTCTTTTCAAAATGTTTGATATTCCCCGTATTTTAGCCTCCTACGGATTTTATCTTGTACTTGCATCCTCTTTGCTCCGTGTCTGATCAGGAAATAAACCATCTCAAATATAAAACATGCATTAAAAAGTAACGGAGCAGCGTTGATCATACAGTGGCCGTTGTCAACAGACTGTTGTCATAGCGACAGGACGGACGTGCAGCGCTTTTCTTCTCTGCACAAACGCTTCATGCAAACACTCCTGAGCGCACAGCCAGCGCTTTACTGCCTGGAAAAAAAAACGGCGAGGTGGACACGGGGCCTTAGATGCATTTTCCAACTTCTATCTCCCAGCCTGATCAGTACTTGTGTGTGTGTATGTGACACTCACAGAGGTGATGGTCTCTGCCGACGCCACCATGTCAGCCAGGCCGGCGTTCATGATGTGGTCCTCCAGGTCCTTCAGCATGGGCTCGATGCCGCTGGGCACTTTGTCCATGAGCGAGAACATCAGATGCAGCTCTGTGATGGAAACATGAAGACTTTTATGGTTCAACTCTAGAATGTAAAATATTAAAAAAGTAGTTTTTTGTTACTGCTGACGAGATTGGAAACCTGTAGAGACAGCAAAGATGAAACAACATGCAGAAAGAAACTGTAAATCTGTTTTCACACATGCACTCCTGCCTCTGAAATCTCCCTGAGCTGCACTCAGTCTCAAGGCAAGACGCGGCGTTAAAAAAGATGCTGCAGAAAACCGAGACGGCAAATGAAGCGTCCGTGTTGACGCTATAATTAAAGAGTTTTTCACCTTTATATCAATGCTGCATGTGAATGGACGTTACCATGGTAACAAAGACATGTGGAAAATATCACACTGACGATCAGAAAAGAGTATGAAGCTGATTCATTACGTCGGCAAAGATTGCACTGGTTGAAAAAGTGGTGTTCGGATACAACGTCATCAACCTCGCCCGCTCGTGTAAGGTGAATTTTTCTGATCATTTCCTGCTGAATTTACACTTCAGCTCACCCTGACTTCATGCAGAGATTTTACGTACATGTGTGAATGCAGCTTTATGCGTTCACACACGCAGCTCAGGAAGTTTTAAGGAGTTTTGTGCACGTGTGAAAGACGACATCTTGGCATTGCGTGAAATAGTTTTAGTTTTACATAAAGAAGAAAGATATTAAACATGGAATAATCATCATCTTGATCTGATATATTCAGCACTAAGCTCTAATTTGGACGCTGCACTTAAAATGAGCTGCTTTAAAATCCATTACTGCGGATGCCCTTTGTCCTTTTGTTCTATCAAAGCGCATGAACACAGACCTGAGCGCTCACACACAGAAAGATTCAAACATAATGATCTGAGGTTATGCAGCCAAGAATCTGAGCAGAAGCTTCAATTATATAACCTCCAGATCATTCATCAGAGCATTTTTACATCCTAATCACCAGTAAGAGATTTCAGGACCCAGAAAAAAGTTGCAGGAAATCGTTTTAGAAGTCTAAGAGTGGATTTTGAGCAGCTGATGATTTCACACTTTACTTTTCAGCTAACGAGTGTTTAGAGAACATTTAACGCTCACACTTTTTCTTAACCACAGGCCAGATTCGAACCTGGGCCGCCCCCTCTGAGGACCACTACCTCTGTACATGCCCCCAAATCTCTCAAACTTTAAAAACACTTTCATTTCAGAAGAGCGAAATGGAACTAGGGTCGTCACAATTTCAGAATTTTACACTACTACACCAGTTAAAATAAAACTATATTGAGACCGGGTTTGTTACCATGGCAACACAAATATAATCCTGGGGAACTCCTTGTTAGATTTATTCTGGGACTTTTTGCACCTTATTTTATTTTAAGGACGGTAAATAGAGAAAGAAACCGCAGGAAGGATTCGAACCCTGTTAGTAGGACTACAGCCTACGTACATAAGGTGCGGCCTTACCGCTAGGCCATCTACGCCCCCGGGAATTTTTTTGTTTATTATTATTTTAAACTGCAAGCAAACTCCCAAACATTCTCTAAAATATATTGGCAACATTTTAGTATTGAAGCAAAATGTCCCAGATGTATTTTAGGTAGCGTCACCACTTCTGCTCTCTGTCTGTTTGTAAGAGAAAAACCTTCTGCGTCTTAATGAGAAGCCAAAAGGAATGGAAAAACATCAGTGTGGTGAGTGTGAGAGGAACCCCTGCTGACTTCCAGTTACTTTTCAGTGCTATCGACTATCTAAAACCTGGAGATTGTACAAATATAAAACAGGTGGTAAACACAGAATAGCACAGCAGAGAACATTTTGACAACGGTAGTGGGATCACAGATGGATGTACCTACAGATTCTGCACAAGAAGGTTTGGTCAGGGCTATTTCCTGGTGCAAACCTGAGCTTGCTGAGCCTTTGGTGGGAGCAGTCCTGCCGTACTCACTCTCTGTCTCATTTCGTTTGATCATGCCTGGACACTCGGCTAAGATGGTCTCCTTGAATGATGTTACCAGAGCATTGACGCAACACTCCATTAACTGGAAAGACACACAGGGAAAACAATTCATACAGCACATGATACACATGCAAAACCTAAATAACACATATATACAGATATTATAACATTTAGTATTTGGGGAAAACGCACTTTATAGTTTTGTTTGAAGAAGATATCAACCAGGTGACCAAATGAAACACACTACAATCAGTGATTTCTCTGGGTTTAAAGGTCACATATTAAACTCTGCTCTATTAAAGTCTCAGAGCTCCTCCAAACATGTGTGTGAAGTTTCTTGTTCTAAATCCACTCTGATCCTGTATTTGATCATGTCTATAAACCCCTCTATTTCAGCCCTGCTCAGAACAGGCTGTTTCTGTGTCTGTACCTTTAAATATGTAAATGAGCTGTGTCTGACCACGCCCCCCTCTCTGGAAGGGCTTGGGTGTACTCGGTGCTTTCTCGCTCCATGTCCTATTGTTTACGGTGAGAAGGCAGACTCAGAGGGCAGAACAAACACCTAGCTGTGGGAGTGTCACCCACCTGGGGGAGGGGCTACTGCCCTTTGTGATGTCATGAAGGGAAAATCTCCAAATGACCTGTTTGAGCACACATTTTCTGAAAAGTGGAGCAGGCAAAAGACGGAGAAGATGGACTTTTCTCATCATTGGGGGGTTTGTAGACAGACTAGAGATATACTGTATATTAGTGTTTGAAACCATCGTAAAGTGTATTTTGATTAACATGTGACCTTTAAAGATTGTTTTAAAAGTGTACACAACTCGATAGACATTTTAAGCTGGTCAAGCTGTTTTTAGATATTTCATACTACAGCTGTTGCACACTTTACCTTTAAAAACAAAAGTCACAAAAGAGATTGGTATTTAAAATCCAACCAATCAATCAAACACTGGTTCTTTACTTTGTAGTACTAACTTTCTAATATCAAGGCTTCTTTATAACAACTCAACAGTAAGATCGTCATGAAAACATTCACTCCACCATGCTCTGGTGTAACACTCACTGCTTGTACAGAGTTGCAGTCACGTCTGGTCTCCAGGTATCGCAGCGCACGTTTCTCCTCTTCCCTCAGCTTTGAATCAGCCTGGAGACAAAATAACACATGAACAAATAAACATTAGATTATTAAAGTTATGCTAATAAACATTCAGTTTAGATTAAATAGTCATCTGTTCAGAAGAAATTCAAGAGATAACGCAAGTACCTCTCAACCAGGAAATGATCAAGAAATAAATAATTTAAAAAAAACTTTCTTGACCTTTTTGCCTTTCCTGTCCAAAAGTAAAATTCTTACACTTCTGTTTAAAAAAAATAATTTGAAAAACCTGACAGTTGTTGCTGCTTCCTGTTTGTTTGTGAAGCCGTGTGAAGAAATGTTTACTACAGCTTTGTGTAGCCTCACAGAAAACACCAACAACAACAATAACATTATTAGTTATGATGTAAAAATATCAGAATCAGTATCGGTACATATGTGGGATCAGAATCAGATGAAAAAGTGGATCGTGCAGCTCTAACTTTGTATAGTTTTTGAACTGAAGAATAATCTAAAACAGATTTCAACATGGTGCTTGGATCCAAAGATATATGAAACTGCTGCAAACACCCAGTCCAAGATCCCTCCTCAAAGAACGATCTTATTTCCCCCCGACTAATCTGAAAAATATTCTGTTTTTGGAGTTAAGATGAAAGGATTAACTGCAGAAAAGTCCTTAAAAAATCTCTCAGAGAGTTGAGTTCCCCTTGAAGTCACAAGCTTGATCTACACTGACTCACATGAAGTATTAATGCCTGACCAAACTGTGACCGAGGATGAACATTTCTGTGCTTCAGCCTTCATGTTGGTTTTAGGTTTGAAGGTGTAAAAAGAGGACAAGCAAGAGATCAGCCGGAGCAGCGGATCATTTTGTTCGTCTGACTGTTTTCTCTTTTTATTCATCAGCTGGCGTATTGCCAAAAACATCAAAATGTGGAACAGGAGCCTCACCAGAGGAGTCGGGTCTCTGCCTCGTGTTTTAAAAAAAGCGACCCTATGACAGCGGCTTTTATCTTTGCTATGGGAAGACAGTTTTCTTTGAGCAGAGGGCAAGTTGTGAGCAGCAACAAAGAAACTCGAGAGTGGAGAGAAAACTAAACAGTTTGATCTCAAGGTTTTAAATCCTTCCTGAGTATGGGTAGAGAACTAAACTGGAGACATTAAAAACACAGCCAGGTAAAATATATAAAATAAAACATGATGAGCATGCTTCATATAGATTCTGTTTTCTGCATACTGTGCCAGTGGAACAAAGATGTCCAGAACAGTCCGTCATAAAGACAATGTTTTTCTTGCATAGTCCATTGATTTAATGCTTTGCAACGTCTGTAAATTCCAAATATCTAAATATGTATATGAGCCAAAGTGACCAAGGAAAAAATTGGTGAAGACGGGCAATAAAAGCATACCATCAAAATACAAGAATTAGCAAGAAGCTAAGGTACTTTGAACTCCTGCCAGTTGCTGCAAACTAGCAGTGCTTTAACCCCTGTCAGCGGTTTCAGACACTAAAATTTGAAATATGGAAATCAGAAATCTTGTTGCTGATGGACTATTTTGCTTTTGTAGGACAGAAAAAGACACGGTATTAAATTCAGTCTGTTTTCATAAACAGCCAAAAACTCCTCACAAGTCGCCCTGACTGTAAATCATAACGTGCAAAAACATCCCCATGGCAGCGGTGGAAGATCATTCATTGCACGTGTCCAGATTTACACAAATTAGTGATTGCATAAAGGTTAACCTCATGTTGTTGTTGTCTCTCAGAGTCTTAATACCATGCGTGAGTCACACTCACATATTTCATGTAGTTTTGGACGCCATTTTGCTGCAGGTAGGCCGGTGCCTGCGTTCTGTAGAACCTCTCTGTAGAGTCCATGTAAGCCTTCTCAAAGTTGTCTCTGTAGATCTGCAGCTTGTCGTCAGGGTTGGAGCACAGGTTCACTGATCGGGACAACACAGAGATATGGAGGGGGGGAAACAAGTGTCATGTTAGAGTTCAATATACGATAAGAGACATCAATCATCAGAAAAGAAAGAGAAAAGATCTGAGGGAGGTTTTGAAACAACAAGCAGCTTTAAGGTTCCTTTTTTTGGTGTGAGTATCCTACAAGCTAAAACAAACTCCCATGAGCACAAAGACTGTGCAGCAAATTATGTTTCATGTTCCTGACACCCTTTGAGCTCTTTAAGACACTTAACAATCAAGAGACTCAAAATGTACAAGTGGTATGTTAACTGTCGTATCAAAAGTGAAAGAAGAGGAGATGAAAATCTGTCAAGCTCGTCTTAAAAAGAACATTTTCTATCAATCATTGAACTCAAACCACATATAAAAAGCTGAGGTTGTAATAGTGAATTCAATCATGGTACTTCAGGTCAATATTAAGTGAACGAGGCACAGAAGACTCCGGTCAGCTCGACCCCTTTATTAAGAAACCGGTCGGACTGCCACCACCAGAGCTACAGTAGGGAACACATCGCTGCAGATCAGATCAGTTTCACAAAGTAATTTAACACATTTTGGAAAAACAGAAATGAAAATCAAAGATAAAGAAAGTAAAGGGTAAAAGGTAAAGGGTAAACATTCACACACTGATGTTAGAGGTTGCTATGTAGTGAGACCATGAGAAGTAACTAATCCCATTCATATGCATTCATAAAGACCCAGCTCTTTCATGAACACCTACTAACTTAATGATGATGGTCTCCATATTATTGATGATGATGATGGTAATGACGATGGTTTTTGTTTGATAACGACGACTTATAAGATGGTTTCTATACTGATTAGAGCTCTCAAGAACTGCCCTCAATGTTGTGCTTTGCCTCTGGTCACTTCCTGTCAACACCTGTGTGTCCAATCAGACTCAAAGCTGATCGTTTGCTCTTACTCACATTGTTCCCTTTTTTCTAGATCCTTGCTTGTGATGTACGTCGCTTTGGATAAGTGAATTGTACAATTCATATAACGCAGACGGAGCAGAGGGAGCAACTTGGGGTGAAGTGCCTTGCCAGAGGACACATCGGACATGTGGCTGCAGGAGCTGGGGATCGAAACCTCGAACTTCCAGTTGAGAGACGATCGACTCTACAAACTGATTCACAGCCGCCCGGGTCTGTCTAAAGTGTATGCTATGTTTAAAAATATATTTCAGCCCTTTACTTTGCTGTCAGCAAGCCTCTTTGTTTTAGCACTACTTCAGGGGGAACCACATACGACCGGTCTCCTGTTATTTATACACTTACTATCTTACTCGACAAGGACGTCAAACAACCCCACTTAAAAGAAATAATAATAATCCCTTTAATGAATGTGGCATTATGGGATGAATTCCTACAGCACTGTATGAGCCTTGCGGAGTGCGGATACTGGAGTGTCTAAGGTGACCTGTGATTCTCACCGTAGGACTCTCGCACTCCGATGACCAGCTGGGAGTCGAAGGCCTCCCCCAGCCTCTCCGCGTGGACGAGCTTCATGGCGCTGTCCTGCAGCCTGTTTTTGATGTTGGAGAATATGGACTCGTTCCACGTGTCCAGCATCAGCTGCCGTCACCAGAGGGAGAACAGAGACGAGATGTAGAGTCACTCAGAATAACAACAACATGCTGATTTAGTTCTACTCGTGTTCCTCCTCCTCCTCCTCCTCCTCCTCCTCCTCCTCCTCACCTTGCGGACGATGCTGTCCTCCACGTTGGACTTCTTGTTGCTCCCCTGTTTGCCCATCAGCGTGATCTCCAGCTGACAGAAAGGTTTGGGTAAGATGTCACACTGTGTGAAGAACTTCCTCCACTCCACGATGTAGGCCTTCAGCAACGCCGTGTCGTCCTGGTGACTCAACACCCGCTTAAGTAGAGAAACACAGGGACAGGGGGTGATTGACAGCTGCAGAATCTAACCGACACATTGACAGATGTGAAGCGTAAAATAATAGATTATGAAGGAGACAGTTTGAAGACAGGCCACTGGGATAAACCTGCAACATCAATACAAAAAACAAGGTTTGAAAAGGAAGATCAAGTGAAAACACGATGCTCCAAAGTTAAAAATGTGCTTTTTTCTTTGATTAATTCCAGGATGAGAGAACTTGATTTAAAGTAATACGAGTGAATATCATATTTGGTGTTAAGCCGGAGAAAAAGCTGATTGAATGACTTTCTCAAATTTGTTCTTATAAACTTGTTGAATCAAGTTGCTGGCTTCAGCTTCTTAAACTTCCCATAAATGAGAATTCATATTTTTTCCTTTTACAATGTATTACTATGTACAGTGGAGTGTGTTAAATATCTGTTTACTCTGCCTGCTTATTAATTACTACACATTTTCTTATTATTTTCTGCCAAAGGACGTCAGGGACTGAGGTAAATATATCACAGATCTTTATCAACAGAAGCCAGACAAAGCAACTACCGGATATTTCCATGTCTCAGTGAAGGCTAAGTGAATATATCTACTGAACTAAACCTTACTATCTGATCAGACATTAAGGAAACATGCTATGTTGAAGTGCTGGCTTCTCTGACAACAATGCAGCAGCCAGTATGTCCTCCTTCTAACTTTAGATTCTGCTCCTGAATGCTCTGGATTTGTTTGGACCAGAGAAGGTAGGCGCTTTTAAGGCGACCCCCGCCACACGGCCGTTCTGGACGCCCCTCGGTTTGCCAGATATGAGAGCAGTTATCAGGTCAACAGGTGTTGCAGCGATGGAAGCGGTCAAGAGAAGTGGTTCAGATAGAAGTGATTGTACCCGACCTAAAAAGCCTCTGCATGTTTCTAATAAGCTCCACGAGCAGAAACGTGCTCAAACTAGGATCAATATTGGAGATGCTTTTGAAAAATGGAGAGAGGTTAGAACACAGAAAGGTTTACAGACCCATGCAGAGCTGGATAAACACTGAAGCTTCAGAGTCCACCACATGGTGACCTGAGTGAGCATCCACTCTAGAGAGGAGGGGGGGGGGAGACAGCTCTCTACAATGTTTAGAATTTAGACTGCAGTACCCATTTTAAACACTAGGTGTCAGAGATACATACTGCTCCTTTAAACACAGGTTCACCTTCTCGTAAGTGGAAGCAACAAACCTCAAATTATTTTCTAGGTGATTATCTTCTATGATGTAAATGCAGTAGACTAAAAAGGAATTGTTGGATTAGTCAGAACTTCACTGAAGACATAAAACAGAATCATTATCACGATGCTGGCACATAAATCTCCTCCTGCTCTTAGTCTTACTGCTTGTGCTTGTTTGATGAAATCTAGGATGTCCTCTTTGAGGGCTTGGTGGATCTTAGCTGGACCTTTGTCATCCCACAGACACACAGCGTGGACGTCTCTATGGAAACGAGGAGGAGAAACAGCATTGGAGGGATTAGATTCATTTAAAAATGATGACTTCTACGCTGAAAAGGAGATGCAGTGAGGTGAACTTACGAGAAAAGGTCAAACCACTGCTGTTTGGTGACGGACTCCTGCCGTAGCAGCTTCAGCACGATGGGACGCATCAGGTCCCATTTATCCTCAAACTGAAGGGAGCCTTTGTTCTGGAAACAGGAAGCAAACATCAGGATCTAAACATGAGCCTTTAGGCAAACTGTAAATGTTAAATGGACTTGAGCTTGTATATTTCTTTTCTCGTCTTCTGACTACTCAAAGCACTTTTACACCGCAGGTCACACCTACACATTCACACACTGATTTTAGAGATTTCTGTGTAAAGAGACCATCAGTATTATCTCATCCTATTCATACACATTCATACACTGCAGGTGAAGCAGAGGGAGCATCTTGGGGTTAAGTGTCTTGCCCAAGAACACATCGGACATCTCAGTTCAACACACTCAACAAGTAACATTTTCTTGCCTCATTGGCAGAATTTTCTGTACTTATTATAAAAAATGCAGACCTCATGTTTTGTTTTTCATATCTTGAAATACAATGTGTATCTGGACTTTTGGTTAATGTGGCTTAAAATAAGTGTAAATATATATTTGTGACTAGAAATTAGACAGACACACTTGCTTAGATTTCATTTCTTGAAGTGTGATGATTTCTTCAGCAATAAGTGAGACACTGTGATGTATTGAACAGCTCTAATAAATCAGAATGGAATACTAATATCTGTCCAAATAGGATTTTTTTGAACATATTAAACCCCACTTGTCGTTATTGTTTTTGTTTACACCTTCATCAAATTCCCACCAGCTGTATCTGCGTAAGATCTAACTCATCGTCTGTTCCTTGTTTTAGCTCCAACAGTATTTTTTCCTGACATTACTCCACGTTTAAGAAGATTGACAGCAAGTAAACGAGATGAAATCCTCCTGATTCTGATTCATCAGGTGTTACGTTCTTCATCTTAACAATGCTCCCGAAGACAACACACTCTTTGGGGAGCATTGTTAAGATGAGCACATTAAACCGCTTTTTTTTTTTTTTTGTGTGCAAAGATGTCAGAATCACAATCAGAAGTACTTTATTAATGCATGTCAGTATTCCCATTCAAGCAACGTTATGCACGGATGAAATTACACGCTTTACAAGTTTGAGAAAGTCAACAGGCTGTGGCAAAATGTAATCATGCAAAAGAGGATTTATGTGTGCATAACCATCAAGCTATTATTAGGATAGTTATTAATGTCCCAAGGCTACCTAATAATGCAGATTAGATTACATGCATGTTTTGGCACTGCTTGTTTCCCCATACTTTACATACAGTTCCTATTTTCCCCAATGCAAAGTTGTTTTTCACTGATTTTTCCAATAACTGTCTGGTGCACATCTCAAGTCTGTGTCCCTGCAGCAGCGATGTGAACTATAGCTGATCATATAAACTCTGCTTCAGGTGTCTTTCCTGCACAGCTTAGTGAGCATGATAGCAGCTGAGGATTAACACTGACTCAATGCACAGAAACTACTCCCACAGTTGCTCCTGGCAGCCTTCAACATGTGTTTTTAAAAGGGCTGGTCAGCTGCTGGTTCCTGTGTTACTGAACTGACAGATGAGACCGTGCACACAGATAAAGGTGATATTTAAACACAGGTAAAGCTTACATAACGAGCCCTGTGTATTATGTATGTCTCTGTATCCCCGGCTCCCCACGCACCTTTCTTTTTTAACCTTATATTTTGTGTTGTCGCTGTTTTATTTAGCCAGCTAAATCAGTGATAAGCAGCTAATGTTAGCCAGATGTAACTTAACAGCCCTCAGATAGAGTCAAAACTGACAACATGGTCTCACTCAGGTGCTGCGTAAGGTAAGAGGTAAACGACGACTACACACAAAGCAGGTGACAAGCAGGTAAGGTAGCGTTCACTAGCAAGAATTGAATTGGAGGGGATCCTACCTTTAGCAAATTAGACGTCGCCATGTTCCCTCAACTTATCCTCCCGTAAAGTCTCGCGAGATTTTCCCCCCACAGAGGCTGAAGATTCACCGGCTCCGTCGAACGCAGTTTAAAACAAATGTACAAATCAATGATTTTCAAAAGGTGCAGGGATGAGGGAGAGAGTTAAGAAGGAAAAAATAATAAAATAAAATAAAATAAAACAAAATAAAATAATAAATAAATAAAATATAATAATAATGATAATAATAGATAAATATGATAACAATAACAATAATAATAATTGGGTTTACAAGTTTTGTATACACAGGTGTATGTTAATGTGTATTATATATATATGTAAATTGTACATATAGTAGCCTATATCAAATTGTATATATATATATAGATATATATATATACATTGTATTAAATGTATAATCGTAAACATACTGTACCAAACTGTATAGATATAAGGATTGTATAAATATATGAAATATAAATATAGTACATCAAATTGTACAAATAGATATGTATATATAGATATAGATATATGGATCGTATAAATATATAAATTATAAATAAAAAAAATCATAGTATATCAAGTTGTATATATGTATGGAAAATCATTGGAATTTAAATATCAAATATAGTATCATAAATATAGTAATATAGATAGATTGTATATATAGAGAGATTATAAGGAACACAGGAAGTTAATTTAATTTAATAAATATTAATTATTGAGCTGTGGAAAAGGGGTAGGATTAAATAAGTTTTATACTTCTTCCTTCTCCTTTTCAGGCATATCAACTGAATATATGTAATTAGCTTTTTTTGTGAAATAATTTGAACATTGTTTTTTGTTTAATTGTATTTTCGTGCTTTTCATTTTGTTTTGTATTTTTGATATGTTTGATTTTATTTGATATGTCTGAAATAAATGTAATCAATCAATCAGTCAATCAGTTATTTTGAGTTCATTTTAAGAAGTTTGACGTCATTTATCAATACAAGAAGCATTTTATATCCAAAAACATTACATTAATTCACGTTTTCTTTCATTATTGTGCAATGTTTCTTTTTTCAAGGGAGTTGCCAACAAAAGTCTCCCGAGCATACTCTGAAGTTTGAATTATCAGCACGTACACGGACTACACTTTTCAAATGGTTTTGAATTAGTTGACTTATGTTGCAATAAATAAAACATATTTTTTACACACCAGGAGGCGAAGTCACAGCAGAAACTCAAAAGTGACAAATAGGGAGAAACGTAATCAAACGGTACGATTAATTACCTTGAATTGTGGGTCAATTATTTCTCTATTTCTATTCATCTTTTTTATGATATCATGATTAAAAAAAAAAAACCTTTTAAGCTGGCACTCACTGCTCATGATGTCTGAATTGTCCTGTATAGTTCACTTTATATTCCAGTTGTAAATGCCTCTTGTTTTATTTTATAATGTTTCAATTGTACTAAACTTACTACTTGATTTTGTGTTTCTGCAACGTCTCAATTTCCTCTCTGGGGATCAATAAAGTATTATCTTATCTTATTTTATCTTATCTTATGTTATTACTGGGTATTGGACCATAGCCTACTAATTTAAAGACACATTAATTGTTTTTTGTTTGACGCTTCAAACCATTTTAAACTGTTAATTTTTTTATTATTGGTCAATGAATGATTTTGGACACTTCACGGTGATAATAGGTCTTTGGGGTTAATTTTTCAGGTTGTTTAGTCTGGTGTTTATAGGTCACAGGTGAACAGGAAGTTGTTGATAAAAGTGGTAAACAAACAAAAGTTGTATTAAATCTAGCAGGATTACTAGAAAGATTAGTGCTGACTTATCAAAATTCTTGTTGTTTTGATTTCTGGCCCTTGTTTAATTTTTTTGTCCTTGCTCCAGTTTGTTGTCTGCTTACATTTGCCTGATGTTTTCTTTTGGAAAAGTTTGATTTGTATTTATTTATTTTTATATATAATCCCCCCTAGTCTTGATTGTGTGTTGTTTGAATTAACTTGTTCCTGTGTATTTTGCTGTTGTATATTCATCATCTATAATGATAATATAAACATTTTTTTGTATATTTTAAATTTGTCAATAAAGACGGTTAAAAAAAAAAAAGTTGTATTTGATCATTTGAACATTGGATAGTCACAACAGGGTTAGAGCTGATTGTTCTTAGAAAGGAAGGGATAACACCTCTCCTTTAAACCTGTGTTAATCCCCCTACGTTGAGTAGCCTACATGAAGAACGGGGGTTGGAAGAGAAAGGGGATTTCTTGACGCCTCAGTTTTACTACACACACAAACTGCAGGCCGAGTGTTATTAACTTCTCATATTCACATGTGGAGAGTAAAACTGCAGGCGATCTCTGCACAGCTTCAAGGACAGTTTGTGTTTCCTACTATCAGTGTGATGTTTGTTTTCATTCCTTCACCGGCAGAATCTCTTGGTTTTCATGCTTTCTCAGACAAGGTCAGAAGGATTTTAACCTTTGTGTGAGGATAACACGGGATGTTTTCAAGAAGTTCCTGCAGGTTGAAATGGTTGGAAAATTAGAAGATTTATAAAATGTTTACAACCATATATGCTCGTTAATTTATTGATTGATTTTTATCATTCAGCCTGAAATGTACCAGCCCTATACCTGGTTGGTTAAAGCAAGAACATTGCAGAAACAGCCTTTTAAAAATAGTCAGACAGTAAGACTTTACTTACTCATAAGTATTTTTACATTGTTTTAATTGAATTAAATTAAAGTTTTACCTAAATTATTGTTATTATCTAAACCCACTACTCAATTCAGGTCGCCAAAATGTGTTTACCCTGCACCTCTGTCAGCGAGTAAAGGTTAAAAATCCCTTTGATTCTCATCAGCACCACATCAGGTTTGACTGCGCGGTTCAGACGTCACTCTGTTTTCTTCCTCGACCAATCGCAGCCCAGCAGGAGGGCGGGTCCTAGATAGCACGAGGTTAGATTGACTCACTCGTCAGAAGTAGTTGCCCCGCGTGTGCGGAGGCATTTTGTCAATATGAGTTTTGACGTCTTTTGGAGGTTTTCCTGACACCTGCCATGACAGAGGAACAAAAGGTAAGTACTTATTCATAATTCATAAATCATTAGAGTAGATATTTCATTTGCAGTTTAAGGAAACCCTGATGAAGGACGCTGTCACTCACGAGTAGACCAAACCTCATTGGAAAAAAAGGCAATTTAACGTTTCTGACCTTAAAACAACTTCAAATGATCAACTTTAACATATCTCAACACCTTGTACATTAATATAGGTGCTGTTTTTAATTTCGGGGTAGATCAAATGCCCTAACTTTGGCTTATTATGGCACAACTTTTGGAAACGTGCTTCCTGGTTTTACGCACAGCGTCACCGCCTGCAGTATAAACACTCTCTGTAAATGAGATAACTGGAAAGGACGTGGATCTAGTCTGAGCCTAATTCACCACATGACCGAGCAAGTTCGCCTGAGGCCCCACAAGGTATGCTTTAAACTGTCCAAACTATGGTAATAAATATATTCTACAATATGTGTGAGTGTCAGATTATTTAAAGGTGCATTAGATTTAGACTTTCTTTATTGTCATTCATTCACAAGAACCAAATTTCGTTGCATTTGGCTCGTTGTAGTGCAGGATAAAAACAGCAGCAAGTATTTACATATAAAAAATAAAAATAAGGTGCAGATATAAAAAGAAAAACTATGAGTAAAAATACTATACAGATAAATATATTGCACGTTATATTGTGTTTTAAATTATGTAGATTTGGTGGTGAAAGTGAAACAATTCTATGCTTTACTTTCTGAACTGAATACAAAAGCTTTATTCAGAGGAAATCATGGATCCCTGGACACTGTTTGGAGCTAAACAGCTAGTTTCTCAAGACGTAGACTTTCTTAAGAGTTATGAACATATACCACCAAATCTGTGCACTTCTCCAACTTTCATCAAGCTTACCTTAATGTCAAAACTTTAAAATAACTTTGAACCTCATCTGTTACACAAGTACACAATTAATTGTCACTTTTTTTTCAGCATCTTTTGCACTGCTCACCTCTGCACTGTTGTCTTTATTTAGTTTTTTTTTTGTGTATATTCATGTTTATGGTTACAAAGTGGAAGACGGTTTTGACATTCACAAAGTGTCTGAAGGGATTATTGTTTACATGTTGCTGTTTTCTTTTATTTATTTTCTGTAGGTCATATAAATATAGAACTTGTCAGTTGTAATATAAATATACAAATTTAAAAAATATCTAATGATGTTAAATAGGAAGCTATAGCTAAAGAGACGATGGGATTATGGAGGGGGGTTTAATTTGTTTTTACTTCTTCCCACTCCTTATCCGACATGTCACTTAAATAACTTAGTCCGACAATTTTTTCTGAATTAATATTTACTCTGTTTGTATTTATTATTTATTTTCTGTCTGTTTTTTTTATGTTCCCCTTTGTCTTATGTTACATGTTCAGAATCAAAATTGAAATCAAATTATACTCACGTCATAGAGAGGAAAGTCTATTGAAGTGAAATTGCAGATCAGACGATAAAGCAGATTCAGAATCTGACGTTTTATTTTCGGTTATTACTGATAAGAAATGTTCAAACAGTTGTGGGTTGTTAATCGTCATAGCCACATGTGTTACATCACATTCCTGTGGAGATTTGGCGCCTTGTTCTCTCGGGTAATCTGATGAAGACATTAAGCCCTAAAGACACTAATTCTCTCATGCTTTCTTTTCTTTTCTTTTCATTGGAGGTGTATCAGTCAGAGACCATGGAGGGGCTCGAGGAGGACAGACCGTGTGCGAAATGGAGGCTCGCTTGTGGTTTGCACAGTTACAACCTGAGGGATGTCTGCACATGGTGAGCGGCACGTTATCTGGCGTTCTAGTTAAAGACGTAGTTGATCATTTAAATTACTCATTAGAAGAAGGATGCGTGTAAACAATAACATCGTTCATGCTTTCTTTTTACCTTTTTCGCTGCCTAAATGTTTTTAGAGATTGAGGTTGTGAAAACGTCTTCTGAGAAAACACCATCATGCGTTTTAGTATCCAGTGTTGGAAAATCCACTTTATCCACTTGGTTGTGTTTAGGTTTTGGAATGTAGATTAATTTATAAAACAAGCTCTTCCTTTAGGCTCTTAATGCTCTTCCATGAGCCTCATTAAGAGTCGAATCAGTCGTTTTGCTTCATATATATATATGAGGTCATGTAGGTTTCCAGCTCTGTCATTGATGCACTGTTCCTGTTGACTCTGCAGGAGTCTGCTGAAGACCATAGTGATGGGCCAGGTGTTGTCCCTGCTGATCTGTGGGACAGCGGTGAGCTGTCAGTACCTGGCCGACGCCAAGGTGGAGACACCCATGCTGCAGAGCTTCCTCAACTACGCCCTGCTGCTGCTCGTCTACACCACCATCCTCTGCTTCCGCAAAGGTCAGCACGTCTGAGCTCCTGGTTGTTGTTAAAGAGGGAATGTGCGACTTTTTGATCCAGTAGATGTGGCCTTCAGCGCCAGCATGAAACCAAAACAATTTGTCATGTTTCTCAGTCGCTGTAAAGCACTTTGAATCGTTGCTATTTAAATAAAGCTTGATTGATTGATTGATACTGAAGCCTCCGCTCTAGTGACAACCTCTCACCCCCCTCCCCTTGTGTTCGCACTAGATATATTAAAGATTAATCCATTAATCGAATAATCACTGTTAATCACTGTAAATTTCATTAACCCACAATCTCATGCGATACCATTTTACACCAACAGAGGGCGTCCTTCACTTTTGCAACTCAGAAAAACTGCTGTTATTTTTACTTAAGGAAGAAGTGGTCACCCAAGAGAGTGTTTTCTGTTTACTAATGATAATCTAATTATTAATGATTCATTGATTATTGATTGTTAAAGTGTCCAACTATAAGTTTAGAAAAATACCTGAAACCCCCCAGCTCACACGAAGGAGTCGAGCACAGGCTGTGGACAGAATTGTCAACAATACACTGAAATCCTACAAGTTTCCTGTTAATCCATTCATCCAACCCCTCCCCTTCCCCCTCCCCCTCCCCTCCCCCTGCCACTCCACCCCCACAATGACAATTCCACCAAAAGACTCAACAATTAAAATCAATACAAATAAAATAATAAGAGGTACATTGGTGCAAAATCAACAAAACAGACAAGAAATAATAACATAAATAATAATAGAGTAAAAATTATACACTAAATAAAATAACAATAATAAGATTAGTTCAATTATTTTCTCCTCTTCTTACTCCCCCCCTTAAAATAAATCCAAGGAGAGTGCAGTGCACATATATGGGAGTATCTTCTTCTTTTCTCTAGTCCTCGACTAAAACATCTTTATACACAAGGCCGTCCCGTCCATGTAAACATGATGTAAACATGATGTAAACATGATGTAAACACGGCTCTGACAACAACACAGCCAGCGGGACTCGAGCTTCTCACTCATTGTAGACAGTCATGACTCAGAGACACATTTACACAGGACAGACTTGATTTCTGATTTATTTGTGAGTAAAATGTTGCACAACAGAAGAAAGATAAATATTTCTCATCAACAAGTTGCTCCAGGATTTTTTTGTCTTGGAGTCAGAAGAGAGAGGAGAACTGACACAAATGAAAATGCAAATCAACACACTGACGGTTATATTATGTTCTTAAATTTCTCCATTTCTGCTATAAATCAAACGTTTGTGTTTCTACAGGTGAAAGGAACATCATAGAGATTTTAAAAACCAAGTGGTGGAAGTATTTGGTGATGGGTTTGGCAGATGTGGAGGCAAACTATGCAGTCGTGAAGGCCTACCAGTTCACCACGCTGACCAGTATACAGGTAAGAAACAACAGTGATGGTTGTTACTTTACACACTGACAGAACGAGGACCAGTTCCATTTTATTTAAGATATGGTTTATAAATGTCTAAATTAACCTCTCTGTCATTTTAAAAGACAAATGCAGACTAAGATAATTAAACGTATTATTCAATTTCCTGTCTCTCAGCTGTCTTTTCTAATAAAGGCAAAAAACACTCTAAAACTGGATTTTTTTATTTTAGTATCACAGCAGAGAGTAACGCCTCACAGGTTGGACTAAATGGGCATTAGTGTTTTTTGTCTTTAAATGATTTTTTAAAGCTTTTTAAGGAACCGATAATATCTCGTGTGTGATTCAGTAATTCATTGTGTTTTATTTGTGTTTTCCAGCTGCTCGACTGTTTTGTGATCCCTGTGCTGATGTTACTGTCCTGGTTCTTGTTGAAGACCCGCTACAGGCTGGTCCACTTTTTAGCTGTGGCCGTGTGTTTGTTGGGGGTGGGGGCCATGGTGGGAGCCGACATCCTGGCAGGCAGAGACCAGGGATCCAGTAAGGACACTTTTCATCTTACCTGTGTATTAAACTCAAACCCTTCATCTCTTCTTCTTTTCTGTACAACTTCTTCTTCTTCTTCTCCCACTCGTGTAAGAAGTGTCCCCTAAATACTGTGTTGTTTTTCCCCTCTCTCTTTGTGAAACATTTTGCCCCTTCTCCAGACGTTTTCACATCAATTATTAATATAGAAAATGTCTAAAAAGCAGATTTAAAGTATAAATGCTGCTCTGTCTGTGCAGGGAGCGACGTGGTGCTGGGAGATGGTTTGGTCCTGCTCAGCGCGGTCCTTTATGCCGTATCCAACGTGTGTCAGGAGTACACGGTGAAGAACTTGAGCCGGGTCGAGTTTCTGGGCATGATGGGGCTGTTTGGGACGGTCATCAGTGGCATACAGCTGTGGGTTCATGTTTTAATCCTTCATGTGTTATATTCTGTTTGTGATACAAAAAGCATTGTTTGTGTTTTTAAGGATGAGGGGAGCTTGATGAAAGGTGTTTTTCTGACCATGCTAACTTTCCTGTCATTGCAGAGTTGTACTTGAAAGTAAAGCCGTAGCAGCGATACAGTGGGACCTTCACATTTGTAAGTTATGCTTCTGTCATTTTTAAATTAGAGGAGGTAAAAAACCCTCTAAAGTCCAGTCTTTGTGTTCTGCAGCGATGCTGTTTGCGCTGTACGCGCTGTGCATGTACGCTCTGTACAGCTTCATGCCTGTGGTGGTGAAGATGACCAGCGCTACTGCCGTCAACCTCTCCATGCTCACCGCTGACCTCTTCAGCCTCTTCTGCGGGATCTTCCTCTTTCACTACATAGTGAGTATCAATGCAAAACTAATGCTAATAAAACAAGCTAATGTTTATGGGCTTTAAAGAGGACATATTCTCCCCCCTCCTCCACCTTTTCAAACAGCCCCCCCTGTGGTCTAAATGAAACATCTGTGCTGTGCTTTGGTCAAAATATAACATGAATCAAGCACCAGAGGAGGTTTGTGACCCTGTATAAACCAGCTCTCTCAGAACGCTCCGTTTTGGTGTGTGTGTCTCTTTAAATGTAATGACCCCCTCCTGAGTTTTCCCAGTAGACATCACTCCTCTGTAGCAAGAATAAAAATGGCGGACCTGCACAAAAGTTTTGTTCTAGGCTGGGGGTGGAGTCCATGGGTGGAGATACCAGGGGAGGGGAGGGGATTTTTTTTAACCAGAATCCCACTGTGACATCACAAGGAGAGCACATTTGAAACAGAGCATTTTTCTCTGTGTTGTAAGACTTATGCAGACCACAAACAAAGGACTGGATGGGTTTATTTCACATGTTGTGGGTCAGTAGACTCTCAGGTTACATAAATAAATGTTCACAAACACTGAAGAAATGGATTTTTTTTATATGTCCCCTTTAAAATGTGCTTAAAGTGCCGTTGACTACATTTGCACCAAAACACCAAACTTTTAACAGCTTTGTCTTTGTCTCTTCACCGCAGGACTCAGGTCATATTGTGCTGTAGGAAGTGATATGGTCGATCATTAGTAAGGGGTTACTTTGCAGAAAGTTTAAACAGTAAAGAAAGCACCATGATATAGATAGATAGATAGATAGATAGATAGGTACGTTATTAATCCTTTGCAGGTAATCACATCGTCACAGCAGCAACTGCAATCACATTCAAGACACCACACAGAAAACAAAGTAAACAAAAATAAACTAACTAATACCATTTAGACACATAAACACTAAGATCAGGTTTTTAAAAACTTGACTAAAACTAACACTTTGAGGTTATAAATATAAGATATACTAAAATGTTAATTAACCTCTAGTGTGCAAAAGTATCCAGTATGCAAAATGGGATTAAGAGTATTTATAAATGAATAAATATAAATAAATAAATATGAGTATGCAAATAGTTATTATGTTCTTGTTGCTTTAGATGAAGACTGAGGCTGCACGGTGGTGCTGTGGTAAGCGCGTTTTAAAAAAAAAAATAATAATTTGTTCACACACTCCAAGTTCTCAAAAACATCTTCGTCCACATGAAAGTGCAAAACGCACTTTAACGGATGTCATCAGCATGCTGATTCTGGTCACTGAATGGACTTGTTGTTTTCAGTCACAGAACTCACGGGGAGATTTAGAGAAACGTGCAACATAATAAAACGTCAGGTTCTTGGAAGAAGGACAAAAGCTTCGCTGCGTAATCAACATTTTTGTGTGTCTTAATCCATTTCTTAATTTGTAACATGGAAAAGTGTGTAATCCTTCATCCTCACCATGTTTATTTAAGACCCACTGTAAGCTTCTTTAAGCTTTTTCCCGGCCAGTTTGTCAAGTTTGAATATTTGATTTTCACTTCCTGAGAATGGGAGCTGTTGTGACGTCTCTTCTCTCCTCTTCAGTTTTCTACCCTGTACATCATCTCTTTCGTCATCATCACCATGGGCTTCATCATGTTCAACGCTGTTCCCACGTACTCGGCGCTCCCGGACTCCGGCTCCAGTGAAAATGGAGACCCGCCCGCCGACGCCACGTCAAGCCATCTGCTGTCCCTGAACGGAGAATATCAGAGGACTGAGACGGTCACGGCTGTGGCTGCCATGTGACTGACACTGACCGAGGGGGGGAGGAAGGTCTTTCTGCTGTAAGAGGAGGTCATTACAATGTTACTGAAGTACTCATGGTTGGTTTTTAGCGTTTTCATAATCACAGAAAACGCAGCTGCTTTTGATTATTTATAAATAACTTTCCATTCCTTTTTACATGAGGTTACTTTTAAAGATATTTCTTCATGGATATTTTACAAAAATCATCTGTTACTGCACTTACATTGTGTTGAACTTAAACAATGCACCATTATGGCTGCTTTAAATTAGTCTAAACTGTTTTCTGTCAGCGATGTCTTTTTTTAAACTTCTTTTAAAAAAAAAAAAAAATGTTTTGAGGTGAACACGGTCCAATCACAATTCACTTTTGTTGCCTTTGATGCTGTTACAATCGTCATTTGGTAATCTGTCAAGTTTACTGTCAATCATGTTTTTGTTTACCTTGTGTTGCCAAAATGTACAGCATGTGACATGCAGACAGAGTTTTACCTATTTTATATTAAAGACATTTTTATATGCTCATTTTTTCTACATCCTTTCACACTCGTTTGACGACATATCCGTGTAATAAATTATCAGTTTTAAAGTCTTTATATCTGATTTTTCACACTTAAATATAATATAAATCAAGTATCTCCTCTGAAAATAACTCTGTGAGTCATGACTGTCTACAATGGGTGTAACACCCGAGTCCCACTGTCTGTGATGTTTTCAGAGTTTTCAGAGTCCTATCTTCACTTTGTTTACATCGCCAGGACGGCCGGCTGACTCCTCCCCTCGTGTATAAAAGTTGTTTAATTGAGGGACTAGAGAAAAGAAGAATAACATACTGTACTCACTGCTTAACTGTGTTTCTAGATCACGCTCATTTCAGGTAAATTTACATGCAGTGTGAAGATACCAGCATAATAAAGATCGCTAGCATTAGCATGCTAACACAACAATGCAGCGCGAGTTGTTTTGGTTTCATGCTGGTGCTCAAGGGCGACATCTGCTGGATCAAAAAATCACATATAAAGCCTTTGAAGTTTTGATCCAGTAGATGTCGCCCTTGAGCACCAGCATGAAACCAAAACAAACTGCTGTTTGGGCCACGCCTCCTCTCTCCAGAGACACGCCTCCTCTCTCCCCTCACCTCCTCACTCACTTTGTGGAGGCAGTGGTTACAAGCATTACTAAACAAATGTTCAGTCTTGCTGCTGATACTTCTGTTCATCATATAGAAACATCTTTATTTATTTCAGGCTGCCTGTTTCATAACTACATAGAAACTCCTCATAGTAGTGTTAGGTACTGTGATTAATTTGTATTGTTTTTACTTAGTTAGTAACTAGCCTTTTATAATTTATAATTTATTTACTTACACTGCCCCCAAGTGGCTAAAAAGGTTAGTGCATGTATAAAAAAAAACTGGTAGCATTGTTTTCACTTAATGTTTGAAACTCTTCGCATCTCCCCTGCAGGGAACATATTTCTGTCCACATCAACATTTTAAGCAGCATGAACTGAAATGCCAATGACCTGGATAGCTTGATATGTTTTAGTAAATAAAAACGAGTGTAAGCAAAACCCCTGATGTAGGCTACTGCTATATAAAAAAAAAAACATTGTTTATGCAGAGGTTTTCATTTGGGAGACAAATGCTCTCTAAATGGATCCATTGATTAGTATTCTGCACTGCATTGCTGCGCTGTAGCTTTTAGACGCGCAGTGACTGTCATCATCATCATCATCATCATCATCATGGAGGAAGAGCTGACGACTGGAGCCGAGTGAAGAGGACTTAAACGCTGCACCCCCATCTTTGTTCCCGCACTGAAATTACTCCAAAACCGGTAAGAGAAGGAATTATTGCCCAGGATGATTGCATCGATTGTGTCGCTTGTGTTGCGTGAAAAGGCGACGTTGCATGCCCGCAGATTATGCAGGTTGCTTGTGCTAATCGATGGAGCATTAAGAGCCTCATTTTGCAGGATTACGACTCTTTGAAGTGGGGAATACGCGTACGCATGCTCTGAGAATAGGTGTGCAGGTATATTTGTGTGTTATTACGCCGAATAGATGCAGCTGCATGCCGGGTACAGGATAGGTAAAGCCCGCAGACTGCACGCCGCCTTCGTCGCTAAGCACCGCGGACAGCTCCGGAGCTGCGGGGCCTGATCTGATCCGGTCCTCCTGCAAACACCTCATCCCGTCCTTCTGTTTTTTCCCAGGTGATCACTGCACTGAAACAGCTCTGAAAACACGTGAGGGAGGACAGCAGCCAAGATGAAGCATTTTCTGAGGTAAATAAACTCAATGTATGCACGTCTTGCAGGGCTTCATTTGCATTTGGAGGAATTCAAACCAGAGCCTCTCTTTCTAGTGTTTATTTTTTTTCTGTGCATGGTACTGAACTGCCTTGTTTATACATAATTCAACGCACCATGTAGGCTTTTATTCCCAGATCTCTCCATTGAAGCGTTTCCTAATCGATTAGGTTAGCTACAGTGTGGGCAGGAAGTGGTTATGTTGAGGTGTGAATTGGTTTGAGTGGGTAAAAAAGGCCTTTTAATTATGGAAAGGAAGTAAAGGAAGTGGTTCCCCCTGATGTCTCTATTAATAGATCTGCAGCTTTCTGGATATTTCTGTGTGAGGGCTGGATACATCTGACATGTTATATAAGAATGCAATGCTCGGGAGGCTTTTATCTTTGTTACTGCTTGTTATTGGTTTCATCCTTCACTAATAAGTGATAATATCAGGTGTTCAAATGTGTTAAAGAAATATAAGCAGAAAGAATAAATGTCAGCAATATAATGTATACATTTATTGTCCTTAATATCATTCAGTTTAAGGTAGACAGAAAGTTTAAAGGAGCAGTATGTAACTCTGACACCTAGTGTTCAAAATGGGTACTGCAGTCCAAATTCTAAACATTGTAGAGAGCTGTCCCCCCCCTCCTCTCTAGAGTGGATGCTCACACAGGTCACCATGTGGTGGACTCTGAAGCTTCAGTGTTTATCCAGCTCTGCATGGGTCTGTAAACCTTTCTGTGTTCAAACCTCTCTCCATTTTTCAAAAGCATCTCCAATATTGATCCTAGTTTGAGCACGTTTCTGCTCGTGGAGCTTATTAGAAACATGCAGAGGCTTTTTAGGTCGGGTACAATCACTTCTATCTGAACCACTTCTCTTGACCGCTTCCATCGCTGCAACACCTGTTGACCTGATAACTGCTCTCATATCTGACAAACCGAGGGGCGTCCAAAACGGCCGTGTGTGGGGGTGTCTTAAAAGCGCCTACCTTCTCTGGTCCAAACAAATCCAGAGCATTCAGGAGCAGAATCTAAAGTTAGAAGGAGGACATACTGGCTGCTGCATTGTGGTCAGAGAAGCCAGCACTTCAACATAGCATGTTTCCTAATGTCTGATCAGATAGTAAGATACCTTTATCATTCAATTCAGTGTGCAGTTGGTACTTGTACATTCATTTTTAAACATATATACTGTAAATTATTTATCACACTGCACATCCAATACTGTCAAAAGTCCACTGAATAGTTCATCTTTTGGGGCACCTGTAGCGTAACAGTTTGTGGGTGCCACAGGTGCGGAGGCCGTTGTCCTCCAGGCGTGCAGCCCGGGTTTGAATCCATCCTGTGGCTGTCATTCCCCACTCTCTCTCTCCCCCCACATTTCCCATGAGCGCCCAGTGTTTCCTGCCCTCTAAAATACTAAATCTGTTCGAACACGTTTTTAAAAGCTGACTTTTTGCTCCTTTTTGTTTTTTGTCTGCGAGACTTTCGTTTAAATCTACGTTTAATGAACAGCGAGCCCAGTACAGTCTGCCAAATCCCTTTTTCACAGATGGCTCTGCCTGTTTAGGGTAATTATAGTAATGTGCTAGAAATTAAAGTGGTAATAGTTTACTGTTGTAAAAGTGAGTCATGTAGCGTCTTTAATGGTCTTTGGCTGATCAGAGCGATTCAGAAGGATTTAAAGAGAAACTGCTGTGATTTAGTGTTTCACTACTAAACACCTCACATTAAAGAGTCTGCTTGTTGTTGTTGGCATGAACAAACATTTCTTACTTATGAGAAGAAGTAACATAAACACATTGTGGGTATAGTGGGTTCAGGAAACAGATGAAGAGATACAGATCTCTCACTTTCCGGACTAATCGAGCCATGTCAAGCTTTGCTCCCACATCCAACAAATGATCTATTTCTTATTTATTTTTTAACACCACTCTTTTAACCGCTTATAACAATTATTTATGACCTATTTATCACGCTTTTAATAGAACCACTTGCATGCGTGTGTTTCTGTTGTTGTTTTTGTTTCTAGCTGTATGCGCACTGATGCTCTTTTACACAAATGAAGTACGGATAAATAAAGTTATTTGAATTTGAATTTGAATTTGAATTGAATTACATAATAGGCGCTACAGACTTTTAATCTCTGAGTGCTAAAGTTTGTTTGCTGTTATCAACACCATCTTGCATTTGATAAACTCGATCAAAATTTGAAGCTCTGAGTGCATTCAGTGCAAATGTCCACTAAAGCCATATAGTTAAGTCTTCTATGAAATGCAAATATTGAGGCCATAAAACTTTCTTTGGATATATTTCCCAAACTGAAAATAATTACGACATCATACGGTTCCTGCAATCCTAAACAAAGTCCTGATTTATTAATGGTTCTGCAGATTATCCTGTATGATTTTCATCTGGTTTGAGGTGTGAGAGTGATCGTTGAGGAGGTTAGAGCCGCCCAGATTTCATATAGTAAATATTAAACATGATTAATATTTATGATATCATAACCCGTCCTGTGGAGGGAAGTCTGATGATAGCTGGAGATGGAAGCACAACAACCGCAGAAAATCTTTATTTACTCACCCCCAGTTTGCACTGTGACATGTACGGCATCTCGGCGTCTTTATGAATAGTTTTACATTTTTCTACATGAATTTTCACTCACAAGCAGTTCAAGATCTATCTCAAATTGTTCTCTGCTCTGTTTATTTATTTTACCTTCCTCTGAAGCCACGTTCGACTTGACTGCCAGAGATTTCCAGTTTTGAGAGTCTGGACTCTGGTTGTTTGTGAATGAATCATTTAGTGTGTGGTATGCTGTGACCATCGTTGCTCTCCTCACAAACTTTTTACAAAACTTAAATTGCTGTTCTTTTTTGGTTTCTTGCAGCTGCTTGCTGCCGATGTGATTTTGTGATTTTTAAAACAGAATTTTTCAGGGAGCCCCCGAAGGCTGAGTTATGAAAAAATAAAAAAGCTGTTGTAGTACTCTAAATCGTCTCAAGACCACTTTTTGAAGGTCTCATCTTGGAATCCAAAACATTTTTACTGGGCCCTGCCTCGGTCTCAGACTGGGGGAACTCCACTTCTATTCTCCACGTCATCACTGCGATTAGAAGAAAAAACACGACTTTATAAAAGAACAAAAGACTGCCATTCATTCATAATTAGATTTTTATCCACCGGTTACGACTGCAACCTTCCGAGTGACACGCCCCCTGCT